TAAAAGAGAAGGACCCAACGGCTGGGATGACCCATGAGCTAATGCTGTGATATTCCCTATTAATTCATGATTTAATTCTCAATCATGCTCAGAGATTTTGATTATTCACAACAAATTTAGAGAGAACCGTGTGAAGAAGTTTTATAGTTTGCATGGATAACCTTGTTACCTTCTAGATTGAACATAGTTCTTATTGTATTCATTGCTTTATTTGGAGACCCAAGAAAACTTCATAGCATTGATTCTGTATTTCAAATGGTAAATTGGAGGAATGATTTGCTGAGATCCTCAATGTATGATTTTATGCACGTAAATTCTGCTCTTAGTTTTATATTACGTATAAGTTGAAGATTCAATTCATATTATCTGATTTGATCATTTAAATCTTATAATTTAATTATATCATTGACGTGTAATGAATTAGAATTAAAATTTCAAACTTTAAAAAGTATAGAAAATAGAATTGATTAAATTAGAGTTAGAATTAGATCCCATTTGTCATAGAGCAAGGAATACTAGAAAAAATGGCCAATATTCCTATCAATTATGGTTGTATAACTAATTAGGCCTGTAAATGACTGAACGTTCACTGAATCGTTCGTGAATCGTGCGGCGGGAATTTGTTTATGTGCGTTTATTTATTAAATGAACGAACATGAACAAGATTTTGTGTTCGTTTAATTAAATGAACGAACATGAACATAGGTCTCGTTCGTTCATTTACGTTCGTGGAACGTTCAGTTATGTTCATTCAGTTATGTTCGTTATGTTTGTTCGGTATGTTCGTTTATTCATTCATTTATGTTTAAGCCAATCTTCTTAAATTAATTTTGGTGACTAATTTGTAAGTATCGTAAAAATATAATTATCTGATATTCTGATGACAACTCCATAATTAACCCAATTTTATTGGAAAATCCAACAATATTAACATGGTTAGTTCTTTACCGTCAACATCCTTTGCGTCAGAACCCTATTGACTGCGCCACCAGCTGATTATCCGATGAGCAAAGAGGAGTCCCAGAAACCGGTTGCTTTCGAAACCAAGTCCAAAGGTGATGGATTCCGGAAGGATGTAAGTATTAAGCACCGTTTTCTTCTACTCAAATAATTTTCTTTCTTTCATATATAATGGGGTATCGAATTTACAAGTAAATAGTGATCATCCAGCAACTCAAGTCAGCTTACTTTTGAACTCAAGAATCCAATAATCGAGCTCTTAATTTTTTTTAGTTCAATCCTTTTCGAGTTCAAGTCGAGCTTGATAATTTTAAGCTCGCGAGTTTTCGAGTCGAGTCAAGCTGACTTTGAAAGTTTTCGAGTTCGAGTCGAGCTCAGCAATACTCGAGCTCGACTCGGCTCGTTTACACCCTAGGTAGGGTCTCCAATGTTTATGTTCGTTTATGTCGTGTTCATTTATGTTCGTGTTCGTTATGTTTGTATTCGTTTATGTCCGTTTATTTATTAAATGAACGAACATGAACAAGTTATATTCCTTAATAAACGAACATGAACAAAAAACATTTTGTTCGTTTATGTTCGTGTTCCTTTATGTTCGTTTATTTATTAAATGAACGAACATGAACATACCTCCGTTCGTGTGTGTTCGGTTCGTTTACATGCCTATAACTAATGTCAGGCTTCTGAAAAGTTTGTGTTACTTAATAGACATGATTATTATTTAGTAATAAAACTTTCTTTTAGATATAAAAACTACTTGTGATGCGTATTTAATTAGGGTAAATTACACATGCTGTCCCTTTTATTTTCAGTCCGATTGATTTTAGTCATTGGTTCAAAAAAATCAGTTTTGATCTTTAAGTTACCAATTTCTGCTTTCAGTTAACTCCCATTAACCCAATTTCTGATCTTTCGGATGTTAACTCCATTAACCCAGCAACATCGCATGATTTCCGTTAGTGTCAAGATTTCTTTTTTTTTCTTTTTTTTTTTGATAGGAGTGTCGAGATTTCTTTCAATTTTGAAAGAGCAAAAGCAAAGCGCTTTTTTTAACGGGGTGACGGGCAGATACCATAATTGGGCAAAAATCATACATATTTTTTCCTCGACAAGCAGCAGTACATAATGAAAACCGATGCCATATAATCAAATTTTTTGGTACATGACAGTACCTTCGTTTTTGTCCTTTTTTATGTCAAACAATCTGCGATGTCACGACGACTCCTAACGCTATCTTAGCTACAAAATAATACAATCACCAACCGTGCTGTTCAAACATGGTAATCTTAACTTTCATCGACTACTTCGGAGAAGTTGAGATCCCAGCGCCGCATCAAGCCATTCATGATGTTGTTAGAGGGGCTCCTTACCACCGTAACAGTGGCTTTCGTGCTAGCTGATATGTCAGCATCAGATGAACTTTGGTGCTTGCTGATGTACCAATTCGAGCAGATTTCCCTGTGTCCCTCGGTTCCGGTATTGATGGTTGTGCCTCAAACGAGGTTCCACAGTTGACGCACCAGTACCACAAGATGCATGCTCCAAGGATTCTGTTTCAAAGGATGCCTGATTTGCTCCAGTGGAGTGGAAATAGACTCTGGGGACAAGGAGCTGTACTTCTCTGTGGTGGAAGAAGTATCCATGCTATTTTTTTCGTCTTTCTGTAATGACTCCGTTAACCAGCACTAGCTTTCGGTTGCTCTTCTGTTCGGGAATGTTGCGTCTCCAAGTCCTTTAAGGACTCAATTATGGCTTCCTAAACATCTGAATATAAAAATGTACACAAAAGATCAAGTTATTTAAATAGCCAAATAATTTTGTGGACATCAATGGAAGATTAAAAGCTTCAACTCACCTTTCTTCCTCCTCCACGTTACATGGAAAAACCGTCAAGTCGTCCAATTGATATTCCACATACTGATCATTTCCATTATTGTTGGCACATGAGGCGAAATGGATCGCTGCTCAATAATTCAAAGCTTATCATATCGGATGATGATGGACCATCACCATCGAAGGCATCTTTATCCTGTGCAAGCATCAATTAGCATAATATTACAATAAAACAAAGCATCATAGGTCGTATGCATTAATTAAATCGAATTACGTAATAATGTGAATGTTTTAGAGAATGCAGCATGCAATTGTAAAACTTGATAATAAATGTTCTTCCTATGGATTGGACATTTAGATAATCCCATTAGAAGAAAGCTTAGTGAGAAAAAGGGGAAACAAAAATACCTCACATCCAGGTTTATTTTCTCTAGATGGGATACCAGAAGGACCTGAAAAAATCCAAATGTAGAAAAATAAACAGTAAAAACAAGAGAAGACTGCTTAGAAGGTTTCAAATTCCTCAATATTGCTTTTTTTTCTTTTGGCTAATACTTTTTCCCTATGTAACGATGTTTATTTTAAATACAAAGCAGAAGTTCATAGTTGTTCATCCATGCAGTTTTCCAGAATCTCATTTCCAGATTCCCATGAGATTCTGGAAAATCCATTTGAAGAATTAGTTCACAGGCCATTCTTGAAGAAGGCAGAAATAAGCAACTAAAACTGACCTCTGTTCGACTTATAGGTCTTTTAGAACGAACTTGTTCAATGGCATAGATTTAGGCAAAAGAAACTGGTTGATACCGGCAAATTCTGCCTGAGAATTACATTACAGAAAGAAACCTATCTAGTCTTACAACCGTCGGCAATCCCGATAACTGCTCCACGTGAAATTCCCCCCAACCAGAGGCATATCAATAAGTCCCGTATGCTGAATAAATGATTAAAAGTTTCCAGTGAATTCCTGTTATGACCTCTGCCTAACTTCTCCTCTTCGTTCAAATAGGCATTAAAATCCCCTCCCACGCACAAAGGAATACTAAACCCGTTTAAAAACAATCCCAGTTCATCAAAAAAAGCAGCCTTCTCTTCTTCCACAGACGGGCCATAAACGTTAATGAAGCCACACCTAAGGTGATTAGACTTGATCCTTCCAAAAACAGCAATAAACCTCCTAATAAACTGATCGTCAATCTCAAAAAAATTGTCATCCCAACAGCTTAACAAACCTCCAGATGAACCTATTGCTGGAGACTCAACGGACCCCTGCAACCCATTCAAACCACTCCTCCTTAAAAACGACATTGGTAATTTTCGAGTTTTGTTTCTTGAAGAAAAAGAAACGACGGTTTTTTCACAGAAACAAGTTTTTGCACCACTCTATGTTTCTTTTTTTACCCAAACCCCTAACGTTCCAAGACAATATACTTAGCTTAGTCATGATACTCAAACAAACAGAACCCAGAACTCCCACATACAAATCTCCAGGTCAAAGCCCCACACAACCCTTTTCTCCAATTCAACAATCTTTTGTAAAAGCTTCCTTCCCCTCCTTGAAAGATATCCCAGCATTACTAATTTCCATGTAGCAATTGCTTCCTCAACCAACAAAGGAAAAGCTGATGAGGAAACAGTATCAACACTAGCATGATCAACAGCTTCCCTAAATAGAGACCTTTTAATTCTCCTGTATGGTCTGCGCCCAAGAACTGTCCCATTCCTTTATCGAAAAACCAGCAGCCTCGGGAACATCAGAAAGACAACCTCTAGAAATTAAAGCTCTTCCTGTCTCACCATTGAACACCCCTCGTGACTTTTCCTTACAATCCTGCATCTTATTACAATTTCTCACAACCTGATTCCAAATCTTTCTAGACTTCGACCTACTATAAGTTTATTAGGCTCTGATGAATTTCCTTCCAACCGGAGCAGTCTTCGTGGATAACGAACTTGCAGAGCAGGTTTGTGAACCCCCTTAAACTTATCAACTTTAAGCCAACCGGAGCCCCTCCTCCAACTTCAACTACTACTGATTCCTTAATTGTATGAAAAAAGGACTACGGCCCATAGAGTTTAGGCAGTTTTCTTGCTCCAGACCAGTCAACTGAATCCCTCCAAGGCCTGAATTAGGCCCACTATCCTGGTCAACATTATCAAGCTCGCTTTCAGCCTTATTTCTTTCTTGTTGCTGTTTTCTTCTTAACCACATCACTTGGTATGAGAGATAGTACTGTAAGATTATCCTCCTTTTTTCTTTTTTGAATTTTATGTCCAATTAAAAAAGGTTTTTTTTCCTTTGTCTTTCCTTTCATTTTTCAACTCTACCAAGCAATGGATGGAAGAAAAATAATTTTCTCCTCCCAACTCTCAATCTTTCCTAAAGCACACCAATGGGAAAACGGGATTCTGTTTTTCCACTTTTTGCAACTTTCTGTTTTCCTATTGTCCTTGCCCAGCAAGGCGTAACATCCACTAATGGTTTAACCAGTATAGAAGAAGAAGAAACTAATGCAATGTCAGGTTGTCTTTTCTGTTTGTATTAAAGGCTCAGCATACTAGGCTAGTCACTTATGACCATGTTTATCTAGCCGATGGTTATATAGTTCATAGGAGTAGATGTTTTGGAGGGTTCAATGGATTGCTCTAGAATACCCGTTATTGCTTACATTGGTTAGGGCACACTCTCTTTTCCTCCAATTAGACTTAGGGAGGGTTTTAATGAGGCCCCTGCCAATGTTTTTCATTATTATCCCTACATAATGCTTTTGCTTTTCTGAATAAAATTACTACTTTTCAAAAAAAAAAACCTAAAGCAAAACTGCTGAACAGAAGTGATTAATGCAAAAATATCATGAAGAGACTCAACCATGTGAAACTCAAAAATGAGTTGCATAATCAAAATAGAAGAGTAAGCAGTCTCCAGCTTAAAACCTTGATGGTGTTCAGCCCTGTTATGTCAAATTTCGCCTTTTTTCGGATAGCTTTTCGCATGATCTGGATTGCAAACCTAACCTGCAGTAAGCAAATAAAAATATTTGGCATGCTGACGACAAAAGACTGAAAATGAATGTTAATAGGTAACTCACAGCAATATAACCTATCCCTAAACAGCTCAAATATTTACCTGCCGCATATGATGCACTTCCAATTGAAAGTCATTGCTATGAAATTTTTTCCTTTTGTTTGTAGTGTTTGATTATCATTAATTATAAAGAAAACGGGCTTTGAATAAACAAGAAATATGAAATCAATCTAGTGCAATGCATCCACAATAAACATCAGTTAGCAGAGGTCTCTAAGTAATCAATTCCATAGATCTTTAGTTGCCAACACCAAATTTCCCATACAATCTCTACCACCAGCATATCCTCTTCATCGTTCAGTGGTTAATGAGTTATGCACAAAGTCAAGAAGAGCAAGAAACAAGAAAATCTATCATAACTAATACAATGTATTTACTTACTGTGAACTTTTTTTTTTTGAGGAAACTTACTGTGAACTTGGGCAAACGGAATTATATGTATCTACTAGTTCCATCATCAGATCTACCAAGTCAGAAAAGGGACTGTCAAGAACCATTCCCGCAATTGAAGGATCTTCAGCTCCATACATGACTGTAAACAGTCATTTACATCCTTAAATCACATTGAATAAAACATGAAATCTTACACGCAAACGAAAAAAGACAGCAAAATAAAAAATAGATCTTGTTTGGTTAACATTTGAGAAATCCAACAGGATAGCTTCATGAATTAATTAAACTAATTGAAATAGGAAATGGTTTCGATGCTGAAAACTTTAAAAACAGAAAGCTCAAAGAAAGATGACATTGGCAAGTGCTGTAGAAACCTGGTAACAGCACCCATTGAGCGGCCCCATAAGCCAATCAAAGAGACATTTCCATCTGCCCGCAAATAATCAACACTGCTTTCAGATCATCTTTCTGAAAAATAGGAAAAGAATGTCAGGCAGCAAATTTTTGGCATGCAAACTCTCGGATAATAAGAATACACTTAAGCTGGGGAGAAGGATCAAAGGAAGAGAATGGACTATTTAGCCTTTTTAGATCAACTATAACATGAAAGTTGCAATTTCATGCGTAATGGAATATATTAAACCATTGTCGATATCAATGAGCATGGTCAAGAAAATTTTTATGCATATGTAAACTTTCAAAACCTAAAGACCCCAAATATTCACCCCCAAAACAAGTTTTAGCAGAAGACTAATATTGGCCGTAAGAATATCCAAATAACCCAAGAGGCCACGACATAATAACAGTTAATATAATTGGTTTGTGGAGAACCACATTATACAAGTTTACAACCACTAAAGATTATATGCAAAAAATTACTAAATTATCAATGAAACATGACGAATTTTCTGCATCCATAAGAATGAGAGAAAGGTTTAGATTTTTTTTCAATTAGTGGTGACCACTTACTTCATACCAACAAGGTGACATACTCTCCTCCGGAAAACCCAGATCCTGAAAAGTCAAGAGTGAAAACTGTAATATTTGAAGGCAACAAGATCATAGCCGCTTCACTAGCATCAGCCCTGCACCCACTACCAAGAATCAAGTGCTACCACTCAGCAATGATGTCTAGAACACAGTAATAATAACAACAATACAATGATAAGCAAGTAGAAAAGTACATCATTTTGTGATAGTTGGCTGTCAGCATAGAAGATTCTACAAAAGGAAACACATATACGATGGATCTGAAGCAGGAAACATACTAGATGTAACCAAAACTCTTTTATTTCCAAGAATTTTCTTATCAGTTTAAATAGAACTTTTGCAGTCATATTTTTCTTTTCCTTGATAGAATATGAAACTAGGGTCTTCTTTGCTAAATTTTTTCTGATAAGATTCTTTGCTAAATTTTAAACCTATGTATTATGATCAAAGCAAGTTGAAAGTTCTAGTAAATTAAGGTAGGCAACTCCCTAAGAGGGTTCTAATCCAAAGGCAAGAATGGGAATCCAATAAGGGAAAAGATCCCTTTCTTTGAATCGGATTTTTGTGTTACTCGTCCTATAACTCAATCCCAGACTCCACAACACTAGTCAACGCTTAGTACTAAATTATATAAAAAAAAAAGGAGGTTACAAACAATAATAAAAAAATAGCATGAGAAATATAATAAAATCAACAACCTAACTAACATGAAGTGCAATTATATCAGCATTTCTAATCGAGATGCAAACTAATTGCTAGTTGACGAAACACTTTATAAGAAAGAAAAATGAAGAAAAGGAAAGTAAATGAAAGATGGACTAGTCTTAATTAAGTAAACCAATTGTATTATATGGCTAGTCTTGATTAAGTAACCAGATACAGTTTGTATTGAGTAAATCAATGCTATTAATGGCTAGTCTTGATTGATGAATGCAAGTTGGAGAAAATTGTATTTCTCGATTGAGCACAAACTTCGATATTTTTTTCCTCGCCAAAATTTCCACAGACAATATTGATAATAAGCGCAGTTTTCATAGGAACCAACTAAAATACCTTTACCTGTTTCCATGGCAGTATATCACACAGGGAAAAGGATTTCCTTCGGGACTGACCAAGGGCACGAAGTGACTACACTGTAGAACATCTCCCCTATTGTTTTTAACCTGCAACAAGGTCAAAATATCTCATTAATGATGCTAACCAACTCATTCATCTAAATTAAAAAATTCTAACTATAACGATGTACAAATAACTGGTTACCAACTATACTAACCTTTATTAATAAAAGAATGACCCAAAAAAACTAATGGGGCAAGATTCTAACGGTTTTCATAGTTGCAACCTATGATTGTTTTTGATAAAATTGGAGGTCCCACTAAAAAACACCCTTCATGCTTCTTGGATTACTTTGGAGAAATCCGAAAAGTAGCGGAAGGAGGAAAGAGTACCTTAGATTTTATTTCAACATTAATTCATTTACATCGGTACCAAATATATATGAAGAAAAAATACCAACAACCTAGAGCAACAAAAACAACCTTCCTTAATCTCAAAACACAAAAATAACCCCAGAGAGTTTCATCCTCCCTCTGGCCTTCCTACCCAATCCCCTGCTTCGCTAATTCATCTGCTTTAACATTGACACTCCTCCCAACGGCGAAGAACAATTGCCCATTCCTTTACTATTGTTTCAATACCTCTAACCAGATTCAAGAAAGAGGCCAGGACACTTCAAGGGGTCTTTAACCCATTCTAAAGCTGTCTTGCAGTCACTTTCTACAGTCAACCTCTTTCCTTACTACATTCCATCTCGAGAAAAGTATCAATACCATGTCTTATTGCTAACAACTCTGCTTGCACCAGGTCCTTGCCCCACTGCTATTGAAAAAGAATCAAGGCAATCCCCACTCTGATCATGAAATATCCCACAATACCGCCTCCATTCCAAGAAGCTGAAATCGCCCCATCCACATTTACCTTTATGAATCCAGGTGGTGGTAGGAATCACCTTTCTTCCACCAGTCTAAGTGGCCGAACCGAAGGCACTATCGGCTAAAGACAATTCATTAACCAAAACATCGGAGGGGATCGATGGCGTTGGATAGCAGACCTTGAACCATGAGACTGCTCGAAACTTTGTCAAAAAGAAAACCTGTAGAGTATCCATGGAAGCATTGTTGAAACCATCTCATTCGAAACTTCCATATTGTCCAAAATACTGCAAATGGCATGATCTTCCACATCGGATTCAGAACCGAGACATGAGTTGCATTTTGCCAAGAAAGTAAGAAAGAGATTATATCACCTGGGAATACAGTACTAATTTTCCAAACCCTCAGAATTCTACACCATATATCCCATGCCACTTTGCACCCTATAAAGAGGTGACACTGTCTCATTTTCTTCCTTGCATAAAGGGCACAAGGAATCCGTAATTGCCTTTACTCCACGCTTCAATAATTCTGATTTGACAGCAATCCTCCCATTAACCACTTGCCAAAGAAAATTTTCCACTCTTGTGGAGCGAATCCCAACCATATTAATTTACTCCATTCAACGCAATTGTTCTTCTGCCTAGCTAACATGGCTCCCTGCAGATTTTACAGTATACACTCCTTCCCATTTCCAGTCCATGATAACAATCAGACTCATATCACTTGATCTAAATTCACTCAACAACAAAAATTCCCATTGTAATGGGTAAGGAGAGGTAGGGTAGTAGGCTGCCCCCAACTCTAGGTTGAGAGCAACTTCCGTGGAAGACCTCCGGCAATTAAAAAAAATAAAGATAAAATACAATATATGTATAAATAAATACATAGTGAACAGTCTTCTTATACAGTCTTCATATGCGCGTCTGTAATGGAAAGTATTCCCTGCAAATAATCCCTGGAAGAAAATTCTCTGCATATAGACAGAAAACGTAAGACCCGACTAAATTTAAAAAGAAACAAGAGAATGATACACAGAAGTCATCGATAGCAAGCTACGAGAAGGAATAAAATCAAATGGATTAAAACCTAAACTAAGACAACACTAATCCGCTACCCTAGTTCTAAACCTTCATAGATTCCAATGACAGAAAACGTATAAATAAAATCATGGAAATTACTACAAAGGCATTAAAAAGAAGACAGAGATGCTACACCCTATGGTTGTGACCCACACTACTCGGCTATCCTAGTCTTAAGTCTCCATAATTTCCTATCAGGTCATGTCCTCGGTAAGGGCTAAATCTTGCAGCCTTCTTTGTAGGGGAATGTTCCATTCCAAACCCCATCTTCCTTTCGTGCCGAAATCAGCTACCCTGCCATTTTGTTCCCAGACAACGCATAAATCCTCGGGATTATCTCACTAAATTGACCACATTTTAATTTTTTTTTTTATAGAAGTTGGAGGTCTCATTAAAACTCCCTTCGTATTCGTCCACATACTAAGAAGTATTAACGAACATTGGAAGGAAGAAAAGAGTAACTCATATTCATTGAATAAAACACCCATTACATATGAAAACAAACCCTCAACGGGATAAACACCATTACAAAACATGATCACCTAAAACTCTCGCCTTCTCGACCACAAAGATCTAGAGGTAATCACCCTATACCTAAGATAAACCTCCAGCAAAAGAAAAAACAACCCAACAGTTAATGACATAGCATACATGAAAACACACCTAAACCATTAAACCGAAAACATCCGTCTCTGAAGGGACCTCAACAAAATACCAACATGTTTCAAAATCACCAAAGAATCAGCTCAATAAGTTATCTTCAATGAAACAAAACCACATTTCCTTCCCTTCAATCAATGTATCCTTGCCACTTAAATCAGAGCTTTTTTTTGTCTTGCATTTCTTCACCACACGATTTTTAATTTCCCAGGGATAGGGAGCACCACTGGGGTATCTTCCTTTAATATTGCGTCACTGGATAAACCATGAGAAGTAATGACCCGTCAAAGAACATCCCCTGAGGCTAACTCCATCAGAATGATCAACTGATTTATTAACTGGATGCTCTACGATATTAAATTTTGATCCACAACCTCCATTGAATGAAACCCTGCATCTGAACAAGGGGAAGGAGACATTCCTAACCTAACATCGTAGGTCTGCTTTTAGTTAGGTCATCCTCACCCAATTGCTCGAATCTTCATCACCTTTGACACTCTTATGAGTGAAACCTAGTGGGGACCTTCAATGCAACATCTTCGACGGGGCAATTTAAACCTGAGGATTACACTGAAGATCTTGACAGAGAATTCTCCGACGTTGCCCCGAGAAAACAAATCAAATCTGTAGCATCATCGACTTCCTCAGGTCCAAGAGTTTGGTTTGAAAGAAGGCTCAACTTCATGCACCATGATTAAAAAAATTAGAACCGACCTTCAAACTCAAGGACTCATCAATTCTCACTTTAGTCTCCGTGGAGGATTTGAATCTTGCACGATCAAAAGGAAGGAAACTGAGAGCTTTCATCAATTGTTAATAATTTGCCCCACCTAGCAATGTTCTTGAAAGTACCCTAATTTCATGCGTGAAGAATCCCTTCGCAAACTACCCTCACTTTCCACTCTGGAAAACCAATCTGCAAGAGTCTCTGATTGTTCATTCTTCACCCTTCTCAACGTAGCATCCTCAAATAGAGAACTACATTCCCAGCAGCTCTCATCAACGAGAGCCATTGAATCCTTTGTCTTGCATTTGGCTAGCCAGATTGCCAATTTTGGTATAGTTCTTGCACCAACCCATAAGGCAGTTTTCCAAAACTTGAAGTTTAGCTTCGTCAACAACACCGTCTACTGTATAAATTATTTCTTGTAACAACTTCCCTCTCAGGCTTTGGTGAGCAACGAGCGACACTTTCTCCAAAAAGAATGTCTTGGGTTGTATTTAGCCAAAGAGACTCCTATTTTACTACCATCAATGCGAGCGCCATTCATCTTTGAGATCGCTTTTTTGGCTTCTCCAATTGTTGCAAAGAATAAAACCGAAACGAAGCCCTTTGAATTTCTTTTGGTTGGAATGAAGGCATCAATAACCTGACTGTATGGGCAAAATAACGATCCAAACCGCTTCCAATGGATCTTCTCTGGTAAATTATCAATGTATAACGTAAAGCAACCAGTTCTATACCCATTGTTGATTCTTGGATAATCTTTCTTCACCAGTAATTAAAAACGTGGAATCTTGTGGTAGGATTTCCGCCTTAGAAATCTGCGCAATGGCCCCTTCCACGCCCTTGCTTCAACCAACGAATCATCCCTATTCTTGTTTGTCACCAACACCCATCCTCTCATATTCTTCCGCTGCCATTGTACTACGCTGCTTCTTCCTCGCCTCCTCTGATTTCTGCACGGTCCTTGTATGCCCATCTCTCTGATTTTGTTGCTCCACTTCAGTCACCTTCGACAGTAGAAAATCCACCCGATTCGCCTTATTATCTGGTTTTTTCAAAGGTTTGCGGTCTCCTTTTCCTATCTTTTTTTTTTTGATAGGAGGTGGAGGCCTCGTTAAAAACCCCCTTCTTGATTAAAGGAGCACTGATCGGTTTTTCTTAATCAGTGGAAAGAAGAAAAGAGTGTCTCAAATTTTATTAATAACTGAAGATTACATAATGTTAAAACAGACAATCCCCTTACAAAGACAACCCGCAACACACCTAGACACACATCTGAAATAAAGGAGAAACATCAAAACCCAACAAGCAAAAGAAAACTACCCAATACCAGCCTTAGCTAATGTATCTGCTTCAATATTAGCAGTTCTGTCTACCCATTTAATAACACCTTGCGATCTCCTTTTCCTCTATCTCGGACTGACGACGATTCTTAGTCTGGCGAGATGAGGTTTCAGCCTGTTTCTCTGTTACTTCATCGCGTTTCTTGGACGTCATTTTTTAATGCAGAGGCTTCCGAACTGTTTTAGTTTGAACGAAAAACCCGAGAAGTATTTTGCTAGGGAAGTTTATGCCTACGTACGTGAAAACCCAGAGCCAGCAGCAGCGTTCTGGAAATATTAACCCTGAACAGTGACGGAATTTTTCACAGGAAGATTTCCGGTGAACGGCAGTGGGTATTCACAGTAGAGTACTTGGGTTTTGTCGCGAGCTTCCGGCGAGCACAGTGGAACGGTTGAAATGAACTCAGAAGACTGCTGGAGGAAAAAATCGGCGGAGAAAGGCGAGTAGATTTGCTTCGATTGAAGGGGAATCTATAAAAAACCAAGAATATGGAAACGCTATGGATAGACGATGATCCTTGAGAAAAAACGGCGTCAAAAGGAGGTCGAAGTGCAACGCGGACGGTGGTCGGAGGACGGCAGACGACAAGCGACGGACGGTGGACGGCTAACGACGGATGACGGTGGTGAAGGCTATTTAAACGTCACTCATATTCTCTCTCTCCCTTTGCCCCTGGAAATTTGAAATTTGAAATTAGAAATTGTCTAGGTTAGAGAGAAGCCCAACTAAATCTTATTGAAACTTTGACCACATTTTAATATTCCCAACAAACTTTCAAACCATCCTAAGAATGAGAAACCTATGATTGTTAATATTCCCAAGTACCAGAGCTTGGCCTAAGAATGTTACTTGGTGCACAAAGCTGAAATCTTTCAAACCATCCTAAACATATCATCATAGAATTTTCTTCTGAGTATGTCGATACTCAGGGATCATCTCACTAAATTGACCACATCTTAATTCTTGTACTACTGCAAGTCGATCAAATCTAGATGTTGGGTAATATTACAAGAGACTGTTTATCTTGTTAGAGCACAATTCAGATCTGCCCACCCAAAAAAAGATTCAGATTTTTCCATTGGTACAATATATCATCAGGAAAAATCCATATGCAGAAGACAGGATAAGACATCTAATATTATAGAAGTTTTGATCTTCAATAACGTATGGTGTTCAACGAACATGCCAGCATAAAGGTTACCAACAGCTGATAAGGAAAAATGGTAAGATTATAAATTAATTTTAATAAAAGTTTAAAAGAAAAAACCCTTTCTGCAATGTTTCCTCTCAAAGGGAAAGAGAAAGGGAAAAGGAACTAATGCTAAAGGCACGTAGCAAACAGATTTTATTCATCATTTGAAAAGTTGATAACACCACAAATCGACTCTATCCATTGTGCTTTCTACAACATAAGTTTACTAATTGAAGAATCATGGAAATAAACAGGTCACAATAAATAAATCCGAACAAACCAGAAAGTAATAACTTTAGGAAGTTAAATAAATTTAAATTTTTCCCTTGAATAATTTAAAAGGTACCTCTATATCCTTTCTCTGGTAACATTTTCCTTTCAACAGAACTCTCTCTTCTTCCAACAGATCAAATTCTGGATTGTATTCAGCTCTGCCGCCAAAAAGTGATGCCCATAACAAAATTGTGCAAAGTTCAATAAAGTTACAGTTGGGAATAATTCACAGTCCTAAATTAACTATGTTCCAAGCATATATAAGTATCTCATAATAAAAGTTCCCGACAAACTTTCCACTCAGTTTTCTTTCCCATCTAATTCTAATGAAAGGATTTATGGGCCTTTCCGTAACTCTCCTGATTATAAACCATCTTATCTTTAAAGTAGAACAGCATTAGAACAACAGACATGAAGATCTAATTCTTACTAATAACAGTTTAAGTTCCACAGCTATGCTACTCATCAACATTCTAGCATGCAGCATGAGAAAATTTCATCTTCCCACTCTAGGTTAGTTACTAACCCGATAACCGCTAAAGTTTTCAGAGCATAGAAATACACTAAACTAGAAAATTTTAGAATATCATAAAACAATAACTAAATCATGATCTTACAAATAAAAAAAGCCATCAAAATGCTAGAATTATGGAAAGATCAAGGGAACAAAGAGGCTAGTTAATTGATTAAATTCAAACTGTTAAAGGAAAGGCTTGCTGGAAACTGGCCAACATTAACACGGAAGTAAAAACCTTAAATCTGATGCTATATAGAAAGGGCCCAAGTACAAGCAATTAGTTAAACGTATCTCATTCAAGCAAAAGGGTTTTCAGTTCTTATTCCATACAGACCAAAAACGCTTAAATTTCAAAACCCAATTTTCCCTTCTCTTCCCAAAATTCTCATCAACCAAACAAAACCGAATCATAAGCCAAAATAAAATTCAATGAAAGTAGGAAAGAAGACCACTTGTTTTCTAAAAAGAAAAAACGTAACATTAAAAATCAAATGACTACCTGGGAGGCCGTATTATAAAGTTGACAAGCTGCTCCATAGATTTCAAAAAACGATAGGCAATGATCTGTGCCCACCTTGAGTTAATAAAGCAAAACCCAACAATGGAAAACTGAAGTATAAATGAAAGGCAAATTCTTTCGATAATATGTTACAGTTGTTAAAGAAAAGACAGCAAGGAAACAAAGAAAAAGCCCACCCTGAATGAATAAAGAAAAGGGTTTTCTGAGAGAAAAATGAAATGAAAAGAAGAAAAGGTTTGTGAAATATATTATCTACTTGTTTACTTCAGAGATTCGGGCTGAATAACTTCTGGATGTGATATGTTGTTTGATAATGGTTCTGATCATTCAGAATATATTTTTGTGTTGAATCATTTAATATTATTTTATTAATCAATCAACATTAAATTATTCAGAGATAAAAAAACAAAACTGAATATTTCATTCAGAGCAAAAATAAACCACCTCTAAATCTTTGCTCTGCCTATTCAACCTGCTTGAATGTAGCACGTACTTGAGTGATGTCTAGTTTTTTTTATTTCATTTTCAACTGATTATTCTTTTTCTTTTGGTCAAAAAATTAAGTTTTTGGTAAAAAAAATACTTTAATTTAGTGATAAGATAAACAGTATAATATACATGAAAAATTGAACTAACAAAAGTAAAAAAAATAATCTTTATCCTTTTCATCAACCTGGCGAGTTTGGGTGTTGCGCGCCCCTTTGGTTTTGTTACATGGTGGATTCTTCTCCAGCAGCTACTGTTGTTCTACCTGAACACTTACACATTAAATATTAGGGTAAACTACTTATTTAGTAACTCAACTATAACTTTAGTTCATTTTTAGTCACTCAATTATTAATTTTTAAAAATCATCGATGATATTGTTTTAGTTTCATTTTAATCGTCCGCCGTTAAAAATTAACAAACTGCTGACATGATTTTTTTCTATTTTTTCAATGATGACGTGAAATTATCTTATGATGACACACAGTGGCGGATGCACGTTAAGCTCAGGGTGGACACGTACTCACCCTCATTTTTTTTAGAATTCAAATTTTCTTCTTTAAAACTCGAAGTTTTTTTCATTAATATATGTGTGCCCACCCTGAAATTCTATTATATCGAAAAATTTATATTATCTATATATGTCTACCCACCCTCAAAAAAATTTCTAGATCATCCACTGATAACACATCAGCATCATCGTTAATATTTTGACAACGAATAATCAAAATAACCAAAATGTAATGTCATGATTTAAAAAAATAGTCGGACGATCAAATGAAATCAAAATGATAGTTAAGTGATTAAATACATAATTAATCCTAAACATGCTATGTGCTTTGAATTATTCTTTTAATTTATTTTATTTATAATATTAAGATTTAATTTTGAAATACTATTTATAGAATTTAATATTTTATTTTATTAATAGTTAATATTCATACTAACTTTTATTTTTAATTTATTGTTTATTTCCATTTTATAATTGAAAATTTAATATTAATTAAAGTGATTGTATTTATGACTCTAAAAAAAATAATATTTTTATCACTAAGGGTATAGTAAAGTCCAAAAATAAAAATGAAATTATTTTAATAAAATCGAAAAACTTCACAAACCATTAAGTTTAAATTTTATTATAGTATGAAAAAACTTTCTGTTTTCTTCTTGTTAGGAAAAAAAAGATTTAATAGTGTAAATGTATTGGGAACTTGAGGAGGTGAAGCATCAACAATCAACATCCACATTAGCAAATGGTTCTGTAAAAAAAACTTCCAACAGATTTATTCATGTTGTCTATAAGACAATAGACAGCCAAAAAAATTGGAGGGGTAAATGGACAGACAGGCAGAAAAACTAAGGGAACATTCCTCTGGGTTAAAAGTTGTTTTCAGAAAAGCCATGGTTTTGCAGTGAAAATGGGACTTCACATATGCTCCGATTAAAACCACTCCTAAATACCTCCAATCTCTCTCCAAACAATTTGTTGGTTCTACGTCAAAGTAGACCAAGAATTGATTTCCAATTCAACCATTCAAACAATGCAAGCTTTGGTACATTCAGGGATGGATCGAGAGGGGCAGTTGGATGTTGTGGTCTTCTCTGAAAATTTTAAATCATCACATACAGAGACGGAGTTAGTATTAAATATTGACAGATGTCAAAATATTAAAGTTTTTAAGAAAAATTCAATGATTTATTAGGTATTTAAACTTAAAATTCATAAGATAATGTCTAATTTGTCTACTTTTTAAACTTTCAATGACATAAATTGTTATTAAACCATAAAATTTGAGAACATGAGATTATCGTACTTGATTAAATATTTAATAAATTCTTACATTTTGAAAATTTATATTATTTTTACATGATTCAAAACAACATCAAACTAAAATCTATTGGTCATATTTTTTACTGGTGTCGGGGCTCCGTTGGACCCCAACATAGCTCCACCCCTCTCACATATTTTAGATACTTTTGTATTTTGACAATCGAACCATTGAATTTAATTATAAATGCTAGCATTTGTTTAGCGTTTATGTTTAGGGTTAAGCATTATTTTGGCCCTTAAAATTTTATCTTATCATCATTTAGTATCTAAAGACTTTTTTATTCAAATTGACCCCTGAATTTTTTGTGTGTGAAACATGCTATTCTACTCCGTTTTTTAGTTAAAAACTCTAAGAACTTGTCGTGTTACATTTAATATATTAAATTATAATAAAATCTTTTATTACACGAATATATAAATCATTATTCAATAAAATAAATACCCCCCTTTCTATATTTATCACGATATCTTTTAAAAATATAGTATCGAGAATAACAAATTTGTTCAACTTTCGAAAAAAGCCTCAATTGGAGCTAAAAAGGTGGCAGAAGTTGGTCATTATTGCAGTTTATGGGAGTAACTGTGAGATGGTTAAAAAAATTAGCTGACCTTATTCCCATATGTAATGGGATAAAGGGGAGGTAGGGTAGTAGGCTGCCCCCAATGCTAGGTTGAGAACAACTTCTATGGAAGACCTCCGGCAATTATGAATTTATTATGTCAGTTAAGAGGTTTAAAAGTAATTGTTGGGGACTTCAACATTTATGCTTGTGCAAAGGAGAGTTCGGATTTTGGGGTGATTGGCCATCATCTTAGTGCTGACACGGATGAGTTTCTCAGTTGTATAGAGATTTGGAGTTGATAGATCATCCTTACTTTGGTCCAGTTTATACCTGGTCTAATAAACAAGTAAAGGGCTTTTTGGCTCAAAAATTAGATAGGGTTCTTGTCAATTCAGCTTAGTTACGTTGTTTTCCTAGTACTTATATTGAATTCATGGCTCAGGGTGTTTAGACCATTGTCATGTTGTGGTTGGTCTGCTAAGGATGTTCATACTAATAGGCCTAAACGTTGTAAAATTTTCAATTTTTGGACTAACAATGTCGAGTTTGTTGAAGTTAGGAATTTTTTGTGTAAGCTTGCTATTGGAAATGCTATGGAAAAACTTTTCTGTAAATTGAAGAGACTTAAGCCTCTCTTAAAGGAGATTAACCGCAATCATTATTTTGAGATTTCTGCTCGTGTGGCTTAAAAATGTGTCAATTAGAGCAGGCTCAAATGTCTAATCTGTCTCATGCTGATCAGAGATATCTGAGGAGAGAGATTTGTTTGCAAGAACAATTGACTAAATTGAAAAAGGCAGAAACTAGATTTTATGCTCAGTAAACTAAGGTGCAATGGTTGAGAGAAGATGATATGGGAACCAAATTCTTCCATTCTGCTATGAAGAAAAAAAGAGTAATACAATTAGGTTATTGTTGGATGATAATAGGAAGCGTTTAGATTCGTTTGAAGATGTATGCTGAAATGATTAAGTTCTTTACTGAACTTGTGGGCTCTCCAGGTCATAGAGTAGATTGTTCTGAGGTTGAACATTAAGGGAGTTGATTCATTATGAGCTGCCTGCTAGTGCTGCTGATGACCTGGTTAGGGAAGTTTCTAAGCTGGAATTAATGATGCCTTGTTTAAGTGGGGTAATGAAAAGAGCCCTGTCCCGGATTGTTACACAGCCTGGTTTTTCAAAGCTGCTTGGGAGACTGTTAAAGTGGACTTCATTTCTGTTGTGAGGTTCTTTTTCCAATCCTCTTCTTTGTTGCCTACTTTTAATGCTACTTCTTTAGTTCTTGTACCTAAAGTTTATGGGGCTGCTTGGTAAAAGAGTTTAGACCAATATCTTTTTGCTCTGTTGTTTATAAATAATTACCAAGATCTTGGTTACGAGACTTGTTGTTTACTTTCCTGAAATGATCGCTCTAAATAATTTGCCTTTATAAGGGGATGAGCATTGTTGGTAATACTTTATTAGCTCAAAAACTTGTAAGAGGTAACTCTAGAAAGTCTATGTCTCCTAGATGCACTATTAAAGATGTGCAAAAGGCATTTGACTCAGTTGATTGGAGATTCATTCTTGTGTCCTTGAGGGGTTACCCTATGTTTTTAGGAGATTGATTGAAATCTGCATTACTACCTCTCAGTTCTCAGTCTCTTTTAATGGAACTGTAACGCCCATAACCCGTATAATTATATATATACAAATTATAGATGTCACCTGAATTTACGTAAAATATTTTCCAATTCAAAAGTGATTTAAAATTTATTTCCTTAAAATGGTATCTGATAATATAAAAATATCATCATATCATTTTATCACATACTATTTAAAACATATATTAATATGGATTTATATATCCATATTGAAACAGAGTAAAACAGTTTGTTTAACTATTACAAACCAGTTGCAAAATAATTTAACAGAGCAACTAGGACATTAATTTACATGCCACTAACAAAGTCAAAATTCCATCATAGGATGTCTTACTGATATTGTAGTATTCCTAGATGATCGGAGTGTCCTGCACTCTTACTCTATTCTTGGCTTTTTACCTACGTATGAAAATCATCACACGCTAAGTATATACTTAGTGAGCAATTTAAAACAATAAACAGTGCAATACAACTCATGCATGAAATTTAATATCATAAATGCCATAAGATCATGTTACGCATGTTCAATATTACCATGATCAACATAATATAAAATTTCTTATCAATACTTACCATTTATCCCATAAGCCCGTAAGCTTATTTTACCATAACTTACCATTTATCCCATAAGCTCGTAAGCTTATTTTACCAATATACATACCATTTATCCCATAA